TCTTTAGATTGCTTTTTAAAAGAATTTTGCCTAGCAGAATGAGATCTTAAAGTAAAGCGCTTTGATTCTTCCATATGAGTTTGATGAGTATTTCCACTGTCAGTAGATTCAGGAGAGTAAATGATTGTATTTAGCTTTAAAGTATTTCTGTGTTCAAGACAGTTGAGCTTCCTCAAAAATATTCTACAGTCTTTTAAGGTTTTTGACCTCCAACTATTAGGACACACATTTTCTAGTCTTGGTCCCTTTTGAAAGTCTTTTTGGCTGCAATTTGTTCCATTCTCTTTTGCTTCTGACTTAAATTTATTCTCGAAACTAGCACGTATTTTGAAGTCAGGCATTACTACCCTCTGCTGCAAGTTACCCCTGATCTCAGGTGGCAAAACACACTGATTATCTACTATGCTTTTTCCTTGGAGTGGGATGTCAGCATTTGTTTCTCCCTCAGTCTTATTTAAAAATTGGTTCTGGCAGAAAAATCTTAAGTTTCTCCTTTTAGAGTTCCAGTCAACTGTTCCATGGTTGTGCAGCTTTCCCTCTCTTTTCCACCTTTCATGATGCAACCTCTTAAACTCAGTCCTTTTTAATCTAGCTATTGCTAAATTACTTTTCACATTTAAGAGTGGAGAGTTAGTCACTTTATGCAGTATATGCAACTTCTCTGCTGATTTTGAAGGAGAAGAGAGTGCAAATTTTTTAAAGTGCTTTCTGAAGGGGCTGGCATTAAAGTCAGAATATTTGGTCCCTAATTTGATTCCCCTGGTATTTATTACTTCCAAAGGGTTTCGGGCATTTGCTTTTCTAACTAGTGAAAGAGACTGTGTTTCTGTTGTTTGCATAAACCAAGTACAGAGTTCATTCAAATCATACTTTTTCTGAAAAAGCATTTTTACAGGTGAAACTTCAAGTTCTAAAAGACAAGTTTCCAAAGGGCTTGCTACTTTGAAATGATCATTTTCAATGTGCTCTCTTTTTTTATGAATACAATTTTCAGCTTCATCGCCACTTACTTGCACCCAAGCATTTGCTATTTGCTCAAATCTATTGTTTAATTCCTCTAATAAGGAATCATTTGAAGCAGAGGTAGCCCACCACCTGAGCAAAGGGTTTGATGAAATTATAGGATCCAAGGATACTTCAGAAATAGGTACTAATTTATTATCTTCCAAACACTTTTTTGCATTACGTGAAAATCTGTTTCTTGGGGTATCTTTGCAAGCTATCTTAATCTTTGACTGTCTATGTTTTTCCTTCTGACTTTTATTTTTCTGCAAATGCAGTTTATATGATTTATGGAGCAGAGCATTTCTATAAATAAGTGAGCTAGAAGATGCTAATGAATGTAAGAAATGCAGAGATGGTTTTCTGTCCCTAATAGAATATCTCAAAGGTACAGTAGCAATCATACTTTTTGATCCATTTTTAAATATATCAGCTTCAGTGTGCCTTATTTTATCCATTTTAGTGCACTGTTGGTCATACTTTTCTTCAGGTAGATTTTTTCCTAACGTATTTTCCTGTTCTAAAGGAGGCAAGCAGCTGCTAATACTTACTTCTCTTTCCTGAGGTGAAGTTCTATTAATAGTCACAGATATGCCAGAGATTTTCACTTTTGCTGGTCTACCAGGCTTCCTACTTATTGCCAAAGGCTTCTGATTTGGTCGAACAATGTTCTTGGAAGGCTGAGGTATCACAGATTTGTTCTTGATGGGTCTCACATATTCAAAGCCAGACCCCAAGATCTCACTTTCAGTAGTCAAGCTTGCGACAGCACTTATTCTTTCACCCAAGTTAATTTTGTGTTCACTAATATTTCTGGGACTATTATATTCAGTTGGAAAATCCCCAGCATTATTGTTTAAAGACATAAGGTTGCTTATGTTTACACTTCCTTCAGAAACATGCCTTTTAGTTCTTCTTGATCTTCCGTAAATAACAGTTACTGTAATACTCTTTTTATAAATACCTTCTTTTACTTCTGATATGAGAGATTCTGGGCTTTTCCTTCCAGCACTAACGGGCTCATTCTGGCAAACAGTGATGTCTGTTTGATCAGTTTTAGGCTTTGGTGGTCTTCCAATTGGTCGCTTAATCTGTCTCACAACTTGGGGACCTATTTTTTTTGGTCTACCTGGTTTTCTTTTAAAAGATGGATCAGTAGCACTGCTTGAATTGTCCGTAGTTTCTTCTTGTGGCTTATCACTATTTATATCACCTATAAACATTGTAGAGGATCCTGAAGTTTCTTTTGCATGATTGAATTTGTTTAGTTCTCTTTGAAGAGTATCAGTATCATAATGATTGGAGTGATAATTTTCAGAGTTCGCATTTGAGATATCTTCATTTGTTTCTGTTTTTTCTTCAGTTACATGATGGATTGTAGGTTTTTCAGAAGGGAGAACAACATTTGAATGGGAAGTACCAACTGAAGTTAAAGTATATTTGACTCCTTCACTACTTTTAACCTCAGATAAAAACATGAGTTTGATAGGACTAGAATAGTTGGAAACAGATGAACTTTCAATACCTTCATATTTTGCTGGTACATTTTCAACACTGGAAATCAAGCGACCCATATCTAAAATAGTTGACTTTTTCAGATTTTCAAGTCTTTTGTTATTCAAATCCATTGTAGGCATGCAATGACTTTTGATAATATTGCTGGATGCTACCACAGATTTTGATAAGCTCTGTTCTTTGCATGTCATTCTATTTAGAGTAAGAGTCATATTTCTGTCAGCATTTTGATCTTTACCATCAATTTCTATCAATTTCTTGGATGCTTTACATCCTTCTGATAATGGCTGATTATTCCAGGATTTATTGGCTATATTTATTGTATCTTCCAAACGCTTCACAACAACTTGTAAATTAGAATTCATTGCAATTTTGTTTAGGTCTATATTGTGTGAGCTTTCAATGTGAATATTTTTCACTGGAACGTTTTTTGTTATGGATTCGGATACTTTTTTGGCTTTAGGTGATTTTTTAAAAACATAATTATTTGTTACATATATAGAATACCACCCTGGAGGCACAATATTTCGTTTAGTTCTGCTCAAAAGTCCAGAAGCATCATTTCTCAAAAGAGTTTGAGTATTACTTAACTTTGGATTTTTCCTAAGATTTTGCAAAAATTGTTTTCCATCTGCAGATTTCTCCTGTGGCTTTCTTAAGCTCATTTTCTCAGGGGAAGTTGTTTTAAAGCTTTCTGAAAATGAATTAAAAGACAAGTTAGTTTCTGAGCTATGAAGAGGTAGTTGCAGTGACTGTAATGCATAATTTGGTGAAAATGATGTTTCAGCATTTTTATCTTGAAGTCTTTTAGAATTTTGTAAAGAAGACCCTTGGTCATGATAGAATTCTCCTTTGTCTGATGAAGATATATCATGGTTTTGTGTCAACTTCCTTGAACTTTTCTCGGTGTATTTTTTTCTTGTAAAATTTTCATCGAGACTAGCAAGTTCTCTTTTTATCTGTAAAGACTGCCTTCTAAACATGGGTGAATCAGAGGAGTTGCACATTGCAAATAAAGTTTCTTGACGCTTTCGAAATCTTGTCTGAATAATTTTATTTTCTACCTTTTTATCGTGTTGACTCAATAATTCCATAAAACTATAATCACTGGCTTTTGCATTATGCAAGAGAGACGTTATGAAATCTCCCAATTTTAAATCATTATATGTATTACAATCACTGCTAGATAACTGTACAAGGCTTGTCATATCCGTGGTTTCTATTGATTTTAGTTTTTCATTAATGCGATCCATTAAATCTTGAAAAATTACAGCAGTTTCACCTTTTTCATGATTTGTAGCAGAATTATTGCTGTCATTTGAGAGTAAAGAATAAGAGTTACTGGATTTTTTAGTTTTAAGTATTTTATCTTCATGATCACTCTTATTGCTGCTTATTTCTGCTGGTGTGAGAGATGGAGGCTGGTTAATGTTTGCTTCAAGTTTGTTATTTTCTAAGGCTGAAATCTCTGAGATGACGTCTTTCAATGTTTCAAATCCTTCAGTTTCTACAGGTGATAATGGTGGGGGTGAGGGACTTCGAGATCTACAGGCATCTTTAAGAGTGACTGAAAGATCACATACTTCCTTTGACAAAAGAGGACTACGAATGGCTGATTTTGTAGAGTGAATGTTTGGTAACAGTCCAGAACAGCACCTGTGAGAATTATAACTGTCTGCAATTCCTCTATTCACTACTGGCTTAATGTGTTCAACAGTTACAGTTTGGCAAGATAAACAATTTAAATCTTTAATACAGACTGGCAGAGGTTCTAAACCAGGGCTTTGTTTTTCATTTTGTAAACAACCTTTTTCTGCCAGCCTATATTCACAACTACAGAACAGACCATATAAATTATCTTCGATTAAGGGCTTTTGAGATTCTGAAGACACAACACATGATGTATTACAACAGCAAAGAGAAGCAGCATTCTGCTCTTGGACTAGAAATTTCAACATAGCCAAAACTTGTTGCTGGTGATGTATGCACAAAGATTCCAAAACTTTGCTTAATGCTGATTTTCTTTTTTCCATTTTAGAAGCTTCCTCTGATTTTGCATCAACAGTTGAACTAAAAATAAAAATCAAACAAAAAATGAATTGCAGCAAAAATACCACTACAAGGAGTTATAATTTTAACAGCGTTCGAAAAAAGATATTTTGGTATTGCTGGACTCCTGACTCCTAGAGAGCTGCAATAATGGCATTTTGATTATTGTTTAGCAAAAATATAATGAAGCACTCATAACTAATTTCCTACAACAAAGTATAAGTCAAAGCAAAGCCCTATTTTTGCAATATAAAAGCTGATGATTATACATATGATTACATTTATATATTAATGTCTAATGTTTTGAATGTATTAAGAATATTTAATGGAAAGTGCTTCAGAAGGAGTTAAATTTTTATAAAGTAGCCATTTTATAAATTATTGTGATACATAATTATCAGTCTACATTAGTGCAAATAAGGAAAATAAAATGCAGGAGTACAATCTTTATTTAAAATAGATATTTTTTCCAAGGCAGTGAAAATAGTAAAAGCTTCCCATAATCACAAGGAAAATTAAGGGATTTAGATTTTATGTAAATAAGAGAATGTCCTGCCTAAGATTAAGCTGCAGGCGTTAGCTATTTAAAAATAAAATCTATTTTTAATTGATGTTAAATACTAAAGTAATTTCATAAAAGCTAAAGGCATTACTTACCTAATTATTAAGTTTCAAATGCCGGAAAATGGCCCACTACAGAAACTAATATACATCTAACTTGAACTAAGAACCGGGCTTGCTTATCAACCAATATAGAAGTCTACAATTTTTTTTTTTTTAATCCAATACCAGCAGCAGGAAGAATAAAATATATTTAAAGAGTTCTGTTTCAGAAAAGTATCTATTTTAATTAAACATATCACCAAACTCTGTACATGAAAATTGCCTTTCACTTACAGTTTATTACATTTGTTGTTTTTAATAGTTCCTGATTTCTAGAAATTTTATTTAAGGTTGGAATAATGCTGATTATGAATTACTATTGAAGAATGTATTTTTGCTTAACTACAGAATTTTTATGCTCATCTATATTAAAAATTATAAGATTTTTACTTTAAAACAGGAAGTGGAATATTTTTATTTTGCTGCCTAAAACTGATATAGCCTGTTTCAGAGATAAGTAATATTTCACTTATATTTTATAAAAATTATGTTATTTGAGTAGCAAAAATAAGAAAGCAAATTTTAAACGTGATCAAAACTTTTCTGGAAAAAAAGATTAACTTTACTAGATTCAACCAAGGTTTCACTAAAACTAGTGATTTGACATAAAGAAGCTATCAAACAAAGTGAGAAGAGATATGAAATTACAATAAAACTTTTAAAGTCCACTGCTGCCTGTAGACAGATGAAGATAGGACATGACCCTAGTATCCTTTCCTTTTTGAAAATAATTTTTTATAAATTTTGTCATGGTTGGGAGTGTAAAACCATGCAATTGACTCCCAGGATTCAATCAGATAGTTTTAAAAAATACATGTAGAGAGCAAGGGCAGGAAGAAATGATAACTATCAAAGATTACGATATAATTATATTATTTTCCAGCAAATTAAAAATGACTATTTTCACACAAGCAAAAGAAAACCCAGAATGTTGTGAGAGATGCACTTCAGCAGTTTCTAAAGTGATGTTATGGCATAACAAAGAATTTACATGTTTCTTGGAAAAATATGTTGTATTTTAAAGATTAATAACCATTCATAACTCTTCCTGAAATGCTCAAAGGCCTTTTTTTTTGTTAATAAAGCCAGGTATGCGGTATAAATAATAAAAACTAATGACTAGTGTTAAGTATTCTGAAACAATGGTGTAATATCAACTTGATTAAACTCACAAAATTACAAAACCACTTTTTATATCCCTCTTCTGACATTCTAAGCAAAGCTTTTAGAGTTTTCTTATTCAGTTTATTAATAATGGAATTTCAAAAATACTATGGTAGCCAGTAATTCCCATCTAATGCTATAAGAACAGCTTAATAAAGGTATAAATTAGATATACAGATATTAGATTCTATCTTATGTATCAGATAGCAGAAAACTAAGATCTCAAATTATAGAACTTCACAATATGCTTATTTGGCTTCAAACATTTTCCCCCATATTTGTTGCATGTTAAGATCTTAAATAAAAACCTAGTAATGAGTAAATAATAGTTGAACGCACAGGTAAGTATCCAGCCTAGAATTATTCTCGGGTGATTATACAAGGTTCTAAAATTGTATTTTTTTGGTAGATCCTTTGCTTTTAAAGTTTTCTAATCTTTTCCTGTTTGATTTATAAACCAAACATCCTGCCTATTTTTAGTAAGTGACTATCCATTTTGCCCATTAGAAACTTGTTGGAATATTTCTTCAGAAAAAGTAAATTAGAATACTATATTTAATAAAACTACCTCCTAAAGTAAATCAAAGAAGTCAGTGTAGTCAGTTTTTTCTTTTCTTTTCTTTTTTTCTTTTACTGAATGAGTAAATCAATCACACACCAACAGTGTTGTAAATTTAAGTGCAAAAGCATTGAAGTGCTTTACTACAAATTACAACCTAGAAACACGTTAACTGAACAATTAAAATTCATACAATCAGATTTAGATATATAACAACACAAAGTAGGAACAGAATTACAGTACATTTACAACACAAGACAGATACATGAATTCATTAGAAAATATTGTAATAAATAATTCATGAATTATAGTGCAATTGATTTATGCATAAATATAACTAATTGCCTAACAATCAGTTTATATTAACAAAATCTGTCAAAATCAAGGCAGCCACAGAGTTTTACTAAATTACTGCGACAATGGAAATACTGCAATTAAAAAACAAATACAAGTATTTGTACTGTAAACAACTAAAAAAATCAGTCTCACTAAAGTTAGTATACAATTTAATATAAAATTGTCATTAGCTACCAGAAATGGTTTAAACAACTTTACTGAGCAGTAGTTTTCTAAAAACAGAGGCACTGTTTTTTCTTTTCCTTCTTTTTTTTTTTTTTTAAATATAAAATACTTGAGGAACATTCAAATAAGTAGAAAGCACATAAGGATTGCTTTCACCTTCATTAAGTCTGCTGAAATGGGATTTTTCAGAAAATTGTCAATTAATAAATAGTAACTGGTAACTAAATTCATAAAGTACTTTGAAAGTTTAACATAAAGGTCATCTTAATAGAACCACTGGGGAGAAGGGGAATTTCCCTGCCTTTCCTAGTTTGTATAATCAAATGTTAACTCAATAATAGAAATGTTTTGTTTCTTTTAAAAGTTATGGGTTGATTATTACCTATAAACTATCAAAAAATATTTTAATTTACTATTTCTGACCAAAAATAAATAATACAAGTACTAAAATGCTGCAAATTAACTATAATATTACCTATAAAACTACTGATTACTGTGAAGTCAATAGCAAAATGATCCCTGATTTATGAATCCTGTGAAGTTTTTGGTCAGGTCATCTTTTAAATGATACAAAAGTGTTCTGTAAGTTTCCCTTTACTATAAACTTCTTAATCAATTTATTAATGTAAATATAGTGTGAGGAATAAAAAAGCTCAATACAATATAAATATTATGTAATGCATTCAAAGCCCCCAAAGTTTTCCAAGTAAAATTCTGTATAAAGAGGTCAATAAAATTGTTTTGAAATATGTACTTTACTTTTAACTTTGTTTTTCATTGGGGGAAGGGGAAATATACTAAATAATCCAAGTTCTGGCCCTCACAAAATATGGCTTAATTCTTTAAAAAGAAAGATGACCCTGACATCTGCTGTTCTGTAATCTATGATGTATATTTTCTTGGGTTGAAAAAAAAAAGAGGATTCATACCCTAGTGTGTAGGTAACATTAATAGCTGAAGAGGGTTCAGTATAGATCTCAGAGACCAAATAACTGCTTGGTTGTGTAGTTTCTCACTCTTCAGTTTCTTTAAACATGTAAGCAGTTTTAAAATTTAATAGCTGAAAATCTCTTTAGTATTACATGTATATGTGATTATTAAATACACACAAACACAAGTGTAAAAACACAAGTATTTGACAAGGTGCACTTATTTTTAAAATTCAGCTAAAAGTATTCCTTTTGGACTTAGGAAAACTGGCTTAGAAAAATGATCAGAACCTGAATTTTAACAGAGAAAGGGGGCACTCAGAGAATTTTGAATACATAAAGCAAATCCCTATTCTTTATATGAAGGCATATGCTTTATAACATTTTACCACTACAGTTGCATACTCCATAAATCCAACAAGGATACTTTGACCCATATTTTAAAACTGCTATGTAAAAATGACCAGTCTCTCTTATGAGTCTAGTAAAAGTTAAAATGCACTGCCCAGCTTCTAACTACCCAATTAGTAGAGTTTACATTACTGAAAGTTCAAAACAGCTTCAGTGTTAAATATTTGTAAATCTATTCAAGACCCTGAACAAACTGCAAATTTGGTTATTAGCAAAATGATAATGTATCGCCCACCAAAATGAAATCTGCAATTCATTTTGATAAACTGAAAATGTTTTGAAATGTCACAGCAGCAAATATATTAAAGTTACACTGAGGTTTTTCAATAGTAGGAGTGTGTCACAATCCTTAAAATTTAAAGTAGTCATAACATCAACTAACCAGCACATTTAAACCAAAATTATCATTCTCAAGCTTTTTCTGTGCACATTATAAACATGCTCTAAGTTGCATTCCAACTTTCTTTTCTAACCTTACACATTAGCTTATTTTTCAAATGAAAAACAAAACTAAATTATTTTAATAATTAAATTTAAATTATTTTTTGTTCTTAGTACTCCATCTTATATTAAAGGGTTCTATAGCTGCTGGGGTTAACTATGTGTCAGTTTTTTTTTTTAAGTATATACCTTATAAACCCCAACTTCTTGCTAAATCAACTATTAAATGATAAATATTAAATTTCATTATACATATCCTTTAAGGTTTTCTTTTCTATTCCTGGTGGATGCACTTGAGTGCATTTTGTATTTCATAGAATGCACTGTAGTGTACTAATACTGTATATATTAATTTTTCTTAGTATGGAGATAGCTGTCTATTTAAACTTTGATTGGTTGTTTGACATACATACAACAACTGTTAAGTATGTTGTATAGAATGTTCATAAACTATTAATACCATATTTCCATTATAAGATGGTTCAACTGAATGGCTGGAATGGTCTTTCACCAATAAAAATGTTTCACTTGACAATTACTCGTTTTCCCACAACGCTTTATGCTATTGACTACTAAAGAAAACCTGAATCTTTTTCACCTATTTATACAAGGATTAAATACAAACTATCAGAATTAAGTAAGCAACTATATAATTCTGTCCACAGTGAAAACCCTGAATAAAACTTTTTTTCAAAAGGCATGTAAGTGGTTTTTGAACTGTAAAATTTCATGTCTCCTGTCAGAGTGAGCATTTGTAATTCCCACATGTGTGTATATAGACACACAAATACACACCTGTGCACATACACACACACGCAAACACACACACACACACATTTTCCTAACAAGTAATCTACACAGGCTTGCTGCTGTTTTTGCAGCTGCCAGTCCCTGAATCTGTCATATTATATAACCCAGTGTCTGGTAATCGTAGTTTCTTCTTCGGAGGAGTCTTCAGTGTTCCAGATCTTTCTTTTACCTTGTATTCTAAAGTGCTGTGAGGTACCCCATAAATTCCTTGTGCTTTGGAAACACTCATTTTTCCACTCATTACCATTGCAATAGCTTCTTCCATTATTTCATGATCATATTGCCGATAGCGGCCACGTTTTTTCCTGGGCTGCTTACTGTCTTTTCGATCTAATCCATCTTCAGTATTTTCAGAGGTTCCATCAACTGTTCCATTTTTAGAATTAAGACACAAAGGAGAGAGGTCCCCATGTAGAAAGTAAGAGTCAACACTTGAGTGAGTTACAGGCCCAGAACATTCTATTTTGTTCTGTTTAGGGAGTATATTTTTCAGTTTTTGGAGAGCTGATCCTTCTAGGACTGAAGAGGTTTTGGAAACTTGATACATAACATCCAGCAGACCAGAACCATCAGGTTGTGATTTTGAGACAGAACTTACTCGTAGCTGAGGAATTTTTAACTGTACAGTAGGATTTGAAGTTTCATATTGGAGGCTTTCATTTTTTTCTTTAAACTGAGTGACCATTTTCTGTAGAGTTAGCTGATGGAGGTAAGTGGAAGCTGTTGGGAATTTTAATTCTGAGGTTTCAAGTAGATTGAGTTTACTTTTTTCTGTGCGCTCTGCTTGAGCTCTTGCCCACAAGGCTACTTTTTGCAGCACTGCACAAGTTTCTTTACTGTCCTTATATGAATAACTATCATGGAAATCTCGAGTTTTGTTTTTAAAAGATGCAGGCTTCCCTGCTGGTAAGGCTTCTAAGTGAAGAAGTAAAGTTTTTTGAGGTATGCCATAAAGTATGCCTGCTTTATTTATGTCCAGTGCTCCAGACTGAATGTCTTTCAAAGCTTTTGAGAGCAAACCATCTGCAAACTCAGCACTTCTTTCCACATAGTCCTCTCTGTTTCTGTGTAGTCTCCTGGATGGATGGAATGAAACGATGGTAAACTGATGCATGAGAGACTCTCACACAGCTATGGAAGGGGAGGGTCCACTCCTTTATTATACTCCTTGCTTAGGTAACATCACTGCTTATGACACTTTTAAGTCTGTGAGATGTAGTAGTTACTCCTTATCAAAGCAAACGCTACAGTCCTGGTAGGACAATGTGTCAATGATACGGTGGCCTCAACGGGCAGACCTTCCAAGAACATAAAATCCTAACTCAGTATTTGTAAAAATATTCTCATGATGTTGCTATTCCTCTGACAGATGCTTGTAGAGCAACACTTATAAATTTTATTTGTACAATTAGAGTTCCATTATAAAAAGTACCCAAATCCTAAAGGAGTTTTTGTTAGTACAAACGTGACGTTACCGCTAAACAAGTAATAAAAGAGTCAACCCCTTTAAAGGAAATTTGTAGCAGCAGGAATATTTCCAAACACAAACATCCCATATTTCCACAAGACTAATTTTTCTCTAGACAAGAACTTAAAACTTGAAACAAGTAGATAAGTTATATTTGAATAATTTCATTTTAGATATTATCAATGTCACTTCTATTTCAAATGTATCACTGTAATTTTCAAAGTTTCTCAAACAGAAACTTACGACTCAAATACTACTACAGTCATAGTTGAAACAAATTACAGTCTACCTCTAAGATTTAAATGTGACAAAAAAGCTTCCTGTGCAGTTAGTTAATGGGAAGATGCAAAAAAGTTGTAAAAAAAAAATCCAAAAATCCAACAGAACAGCATTTCACTACTAATTATTTATTTAATGATTAATGACACTTTTCAAAACATGAAAGGACTTTTTGTGGTGATTACTAGATATGCTTAAGTAGTTTGCCACCACATCTAAAGTGCAATAAGAAAATCTAAACACTATAAACTAGCGTTAACAATTAGTAAGTACAGTGCTTTTAGAATTTGTTCATTGTTTTAAAAAATTAATAAATTACATATTTCCCTTAAAATTGCCTCCTGAGTATTTAATTTAATATTCTCTTACTCGTCCTGCTTCTTAGTTTGTATTCTATGATTAAGTTGGTAGTTCATTTTAGTAACATGAACTAAAGTTTGGTGATTGTTCTGATAACTTTTCTTTAACAGAAAGAATAAAAAAGAAAGAGAAAGGACAAATGAAAGGTATGAGAGAGAGACACTTATGAGTGACAAAAATTCTGGAGGAAAACTATATACGTCAATACTACTCAGAATAGTATTAAGAGTTCTCTGCAGAGATAATTTTATATTAATATTAAATTATATTTCCTAGATATTGCTTACCCAGCCACTGAATTTTCAGAAGAAGGATCACATATGGATGACTCTTCAGATTTTATGCTGGTTTTCTTTGTAGAGAGATCTAACACTCCATCCCCTATAATTTTTGCAAGAGAAAAAACTTTATATTTGCAACAGATAGGCAATCCTTACATTTTAATATTTCATATTTTGTTGATCTACTAATTCATAACACTAGTATTTGATATGTGGCCATTACCTATTCATCTTAAACAGGTTTAGGAACAGGATATGACTGGGAAGGCACTATATAGGAAAAAAAGAACAGAGAAGGAGCTGGCATTGCCAGATGATATGAAGAAACTAAATATATTATATAAAATTTGTCTAAGATAAACTTTTAGTCACCTCTCTACCATTTTGTAGTGAATAGCCATTGATTGCTCATTCATGACTCTTTTCCATTCAAAGCTGCCCAGATAATGCTTTGGGAAGGTAGGAGTGATATAAATTGTACAAAACAGAGAGAACAGAAAATGTGATGATGAGTAAGAGAATTGAATAATTAGCATTTACTAGGACTAGCAAAAGGTAAACTGTGGCTGTATGTATAGGAATATATGAGAACTATATATTTTCTAGAACTCATAGTATAAAATTTTACTCTTTTAAATTATTGAACTATACAATAGTTAAATCACTGCCTACATAATATATTGTGCTTATATCTATGACTAAAGATGTAACTTACGATAATGCAGCTTTAGAAAAATAATGTTATAAAATAACTGCCTATGGATGTTATTAAAATGCAGTTACTATATAACATTTACATAAATAAAAATTCAATGATTCAGACTTATTGTTAATCTGGCATGCTTCAGGATCAAAAAGTATAAACATAAACCATGAATTTATAACCCAGCAAAGAATTCTGTGAATGTTTTTATTGTTAGCTAAAAAACTAAAAGTTTTAGCTATAAGAAAAATTATTAAAAATACATGGTTAAAGATATATTAATTCAACTGGGCTTAAAATATTCAACTGGGTTTTACTGTAACCATAATCAATCCATGAAATACGTATGTTCCTGGGCAGATACAAAGATGAAAAATAAAACAAAATATCCTATCTATAGCCTGCTATATAGACTCTGACAATAATTCATTGAGTGCTCACTATGTGAAAAGTACTATTTTAGGCACTAGAAGAGCATCAAAAAAAAAAAAAAAAAAAATCCTATCTATAGCCTGCTATATAGACTCTGACAATAATTCATTGAGTGCTCACTATGTGAAAAGTACTATTTTAGGCACTAGAAGAGCATCAAAAAAAAAAAAAAAAAAAGTCACACCAAGGACCTACTGTCAGTCACAGTCATTGTCACAGTGCTTAGGATCTAATGAGATAATTCATACACCCCCACAACCAGCACCACTACCACCAGTAATTATGATAGTGCCACTCTGGAGAATAACAGAGTAAGCTGATAGAGTAATGAGGGTGGGGCTGAGAGAGCTGCTGTTTTATGCAGTGTTATCAGTGCAGGTTTCTTTGATTTGAACAGGGCCCTGAATAAGGTGAGGGTCACCAACTAAGCAGATACATGGGAGAACGTTTCTGAAAGAACAGTCTGTATAGAGGCTGTGATATGGAACCATGTCTGGAATGTCAGAGGAATAGCAAAGGCCAGGGTATCTGAAATGAAGTAAGCCAGGCCAAGAGTGAGCTGAGATCAGAAACGCTGCAGGAAGAGGTTACACAGCGCCATTGGGCCATGGCAAGAACTTTGCATTTCATTCTGACAGAGACAGGAAGCCACTGGAGGGTTCTGGGTGGAAGACCGACAAGATTTCAATTTAGGTTTTTAAAAGATCAATCTGCTATGGCAGAATGGACCGCGAGGAGCTAAAGGTGGAGCAGGGCAACCTGCTGGGAAAGTGCTATGCTATTTCTTGTCTCTGGGCTTTCACACTTGGAGTTGGTTTCCTCTGCCTAGAAGATTTGTACTCCTTTACTCCTGCCCCCTGCCCTCCCACCCCGCCCACCCCTCTTAATTCTCACCAAATCTAACTCATCAGCCTCACTCAGGACACAACACAGAGTTGGTTGATCGTCATTATAGGTTACTATACCAGTAACACTTACTTATATTATTTAGCAGGTTGTAATGTAATGCTAGTTGCTCATATACCTACCAGTGCTAGCCAGACTATAAGCTATGTGAAGGCACAGACCACGTATATTTTATTCATCAATATATCCCTGTGGCTTACAATGGTGCCTGGCATACAATATGTATTCCATTAAATGTTTGCTGAATAGAATTTCAAAGAACTGGAAAAATTCAGTGTGGCCAGAGGTTAGAGCCCATAGATTAGAAGGGTAAAAGGGACAGACTGAAGAAGCAAAGTACCTGGCACAGACTATCTTGAAAAATTATTAAAGACAGTTTCTTGGCCCAGTTTACCCATCCAGCTTAATTTTAAACTTAGTCTCCATTCATCTCAAGCCTCACACGGCTCATGTATCTAACTACTTGTATTCCCTCAAACGTGCTACACAGTGGTATGCCTCTCAAATTGCAGTACATTGTTTCCTCTGCCTATTTGACTTGTCAAACTTCTACTCATCAAACTTCTACTTATCCTTGAAGACCCAGATCCCCCGCCCAGGCAGAAGATGCTTATTTTGTCTTCCTGCGTGGACAGCATCCTATAAAACGTATGACACTATCGTGCAATTATTGATTTATACATCTTTTTCCCCCATGAGATTGAATTCCTCAAGGTCCAGGATCTTGACTTATTCATTTGTGTTACTAAACATTGGTAGAGTGCTAAAACCTACTAAAAGGAGAAAGAAATGTTTTCTCTGTTCTATCATCTCATTTCTCTTTTTTAGCAATTAAAATTTTACTACTTTAAGAACTTATAAGAAAGGATAACTGCCAAACCCATATTCAAGTTTATAACTTTATTCACAAATTTTGATTTTGCTCATTTTATGTACAGTTTATGGCATATAAAACACACTCCCCTAAGTCTGTTACTCTTAGTCTCAGAATGAAGTAATGAAATTTCCCTGATTCTAAGCTGTTAGACTTGATATGCTCCATTTAAAATTAATCCATAAAATATAAATTATGAAAGGAGGTACAGGAAACCCCTTTCTTTCCTTTACAGATACTATAAAAACTAGGCTGCAGCTCTCTACCTAGGGCAATAAAGGTTTCTTTTCTTTTTTGGACTACTCACACATAAAGCACTAACTATAGCGCATTTTAATCTGGATGAGCTGCATAGAAGCTCTACTCCATCTTTCAGAAACCTATGCAAACAGGCTTATACTTCTGATTCTTTCTCTTTACGAAGTCTAAATAATGACCCTATTGAGAAATGCTTTTCTCTCTTCTTCATAGCCCTTTCTCCACATCTAGGCTATGTTAAAAGTTTTATTCTAAAAGGATTTGACAAAGAAAGTAACGCATTATACTATCTAGTGAAAATGAAAAATGTACTCCATCATATATTTCTGTCACATTGCATTAAAATTCTTTAATCAATTAATGTTTACATAGTAAACACAAAATACATAAATATGTAATAGTTCTAATACCATTAAGAATTTTAGATCAGTTTTAGTTATCTATAGAAAATCTCACTTTTTGTTAGCAGTATTAACCATCTATACTATTTTGCTCATAGCATGATTCCCTTTTCTTCATAAAGCCTGTAGTTCAAGGGCTGGAAAAGTCAAAAGAAGTTATTCCTAGGATTGTCTGAATTAGAAAAACAAAAACAATGAGAGAGACAGCTTGGGAAGGATAGAGAAGGTCCAGGAATGGCGGGGGCAGGGGAAGGATATTTTCTTGCTCCTGATAATTACATCTATCTGAATGGTGATTACATCACTCCTTCACAATGGAGATATAACTAGATTTTGTGTGTACATCATTCCAAAGTACTAAAATTAACCCAAAATACATGATAAAAATCCATTTAAAATAAACTCTTGGAATCCTCTCCCACCATTTTGTAGTAAATAATGTAGATAAAACTAAGCACTTAGAATGCTATGACAGGATAATATAAACTAAGTAAGTGGGGGGAGGTAATTAATTCAATTTTACTAGTATATTCTCTGCAGTCTATCTTATTACACTGTAATTTATTCCCCATTTATTTACTGTTGGTATTCAGGTTGTTTTAGTTTTTCACTGTTAAAAACAATGCTGAAATGAACATTCTTATAAATTTTTTTGTCTTCATGTACAATAATTTCTCTAGGATAAACTCTCAGAAGTGCTGAACAACAGATATTACCAAATTTCACATCCTTGATAACACTTAGTGTTGCTGGTGATTTTTAATTTTTGGTGAATAAGTAAACTTCAGGATTAAAGTGAACAAGATAGTGTATTTATTAAGCCATTTATGTGAATATTTAAAGCACATAAAACTATTTTGTTTATAGATACATAAATAGGTAGTATCACTGGTTGCTTCCAAGGGTAAACAAAAAGATCTAAAAGGATCTTAACTGTATTTCTAGAAATACTTTAGGTCTTTAAGAGAAGACAAATCAGAGGTAAATATGACCAAATAACACATTTATTAATTCTGGTTAACAAGTACATGATTATTACATTGTATTTTTCTGTGTATTCAAACTTTTTACTAACATTTAATAATAAATACAAAATTGTTTTCATTTACTGGTTGGAGATGGGGCATTTAACATTATAATTTAGTTATTTCCGATCAAACACTATTGTAAAATGTACAGAATTAAAGATAAGCCAATCCAATCTTTGAACAAGGTCAGGTAATTGTCTATATAACACTACCGGAATTAAATTTAAAAATAAACTGACGTTTCAAAAATTGAAGTCATGGCCAAATTGGGCAATTTCTTGAATACTCACTTTATTGGGTTAATTTTTAGTTAAAATTCAGATTTCAATTTTTCATAAATTTTCTTTCCTGTATTGTCATGCAAACTTCTGATAAAGGATCTATTCAAAAAGGACAACTGGAACCTTCATAATACAGAACTGTTTTCCACCCCTCCAAGGAAATCATTCTGTTTCATCTCTTATCTGGCCTTTTGCTATTCTCCTCTCTAGGATATTC